TGACTGCCAAACTGCTATGAAATCAACGCATCGCAGACCCGTGTACGTTCCGTAATGGAGACGTCGAATAAGGCCATGGATGACTCATGGGTGGTACATGTTATTCAACTTGAATTGGGAGAAATGAAAACCTCATTCACGCTGTGACTGGAAAATATGCATCAAAACTGCGCTCCAAAGAAAGTGGCTTAATTTTGAACAGATTGTTGTTTGTATGAACATTCCACAATTATCTATCCATGAGAATTATAATTGCCTTAATATGAAGTTGGTGTAACCATTTGATGATATGCAATCTATTGCATAATGTGTTGTCGATATCATGCACCTTTCACAGTTTTTTGCAGAGATGAAGAGCGAAGAGACCAAATAGCTATTATTCTGGAAAATAAAAGTAATGCAATGAAATGAAGCAGAGAATACTCATTGGTTATGCCTGTACCACATTTTCTTGGTGGGGCCCTTGATGACCTTAAATGATATCGACTGGATTGTGAGAACTCAAAATGGTAGTGGAGTGCATTCACCTAGAAAGTATTCAAGCAAACCGTTGCGATGGAGCACTTTTCGATGTAGTGGATGAAGGCCTCGTTGAGCGATGGAAGGGCTAAACTCATCAACTTACAAAATTAATGTTAGTGCTAATAGGGCTTTACATTGGAGTCGGTCTGTTGGGTCACTGGCATCCTTGTGACCCGAATGAGCCAATGGGGTTGGCCGTTCATATCACTGCGTATGCACCAGTGGGAATCCACTTCGTAACCTCTAAGATGATGCATACACACGCTAACCAATACATCAACTGCGCATTTCAGCCAATGCCATATTCTCACGCCTGGTTCTTTTAAGTTCTGGAAGTCAGCAAAAGGAGAGGAACCATCTCCATCCCCAATATCCCCCCTCTCCCCAATTTCCCGCAACTTGAAAGCTGCCTCTCAAAAATGGACAAATGCAGAAGCTTCATGAATAGGTTATCATGTTGCAAGATTACTTTCTGTTCTGTCCGAAAGCGGAAAGAAAATGACTGGATGTAAAAATGAATTAATTACCTTAATGTTAGGCGTGGAACATCTTTACTCTCTCTCTCTCTCTCTCTCTCTCAATTCGCCAATAAATGGCCACTCAACTCCAACCAGAGGAGACGAGGTTACCTGGAAGATTGAATTTTTGGATCTAAGTGTGGGAAAGACGTACCTTTCATGTTCTTTTGTGTAACTGGGTGCGTGATCACTGGACAAGAGCCAGATTCAAATATTTCCAAAGGTGCGAGGTGGTTTTAAGATATTTTATGGACGGGAATGTTGCGAATGACACTTGACTTCTTGATTGCCAGTCTTTGCTCCATTTCTAAGGGAAGAAGTCCACTCAATGCCATATCGATGAGAGAAAAACTAACCCAACGAACCAATAATCCAACACCACTTCCATCGTCTAAAATCTCTTGACTTCTTACGAAACTGTAATTACAGTTAGCACCGACGAACTATTTCTCAAATGTCACACAGGTCTTGGATATGAAGTTGACAAACCGGACCTTCATTTGAGAACCTAACTTATGCCAATTATTGATGGGGAAGAGAGGGGTGGGGTGGGATGACAACAGCTCCAAGGGTGGAACACACGAGTAGTGTAGTTCAAAGTGCATTGAGCAAACCATCGATGGGTGGTGGGGTTGAATAGAGGGGGGAGAGAAGAGATGAGGGTGAAACGTAAGAAGAGGGAAATTACAGGTCCTTGATAATACTCTCTATTTCTCACTCACTTCCCTCTACTGTTGCGGATATTGTGGGATTGCTAGCACCTTAATGTTGGGCGTGGAACATATTTACTCTCTCACAAGTCCCCAATAAAAATGGCCACTCAACTCCAACCAGAGGAGACGAGGTTACCTGGAAGATTGAATTTTTGGATCTAAGTGTGGGAAAGACGTACCTTTCATGTTCTTTTGTGTAACTGGGTGCGTGATCACTGGACAAGAGCCAGATTCAAATATTTCCAAAGGTGTGAGGGTATTTTCAGTTATTTTGTGGACGAGAATGTTGTGAATGCCAGTCATTGCTCTTTTACTAAGGAATGAAACGTACCCACTGCCATATTGATGAGGAAATTGCCAGGACATCGAATCGATCATCCAACATCATTTTAAAAGCATTTTCACCGTCCAAATTCTCCGGACTTCCTCGTACTAGACTGAGGAACTGGAATTAGATTAAGCAACAACAAGCTCTTTTACAACTACGGCTTAGCTTGTTTCACAGTCCTTGTATGCGTTATTGATGAATGTAAAAAAACCGGAATTTCATTTGAAAATTTAAATTTTATAAACTTTTGGGAAAGCATGGGGGTGATTGATGAGGAGAGAGAGCGAGATGATGGACTGAGGAGATGAGTGTGAAACGAAGAAGGCACGTTCCTTCCCTCACTTTGAGAAAATATAAGTATGCATATAACTAAATAATTCTGCTTATTTCATTCCTTCTTCCTAATTGTATTGAAAATAACGTTGACTTGTTGGTTTCTCCGAACAAATGGAGGAAATTGAACCCCAGCAGGCCGAATCTCACTAAGTGACCTGAAGCACTCCATGGGAGACTTGAGGTCGCAGGCGTGCAAGCACTTCAAGTGCCGGTGTGAAGTTGAGGTCTCGAGATTAATGTTGTAGATGATCAGGGTTTCAACCTCCAAGTTATTTGCTAACATTGAACGAACAAGGCGAATGTAACGACTCTTCCAGATCTCTGCCTTGGGATGAGATCATTGTTCACAGATAGTTAATATTGGTGTTCACGAACTGTTTTGACCTTCAAAACAATAAAATCATGGCTATTTTAATTCATTTTCATGCAGTCTCAAGGGTATTTTCATAGCGTCTCGGAGTAGATTCATATCGATCTTTTCACTACCGCAACGCATCTTTACAACAAAGCGACATGTAATGTGAACATTAATCAAAAAGGTGAAAAAAGACCCCTTAGAATTATAAAAAATAGACATAATTATATTGAGAATGAAGAGATACCAATTCCAAATAAAGATTCAGCTTCCTTTGTCAGTATCGAACATCAAATGATGTCTTGCGCCAAGGACGAGGTGGAGTCAAACAATTGAAAACACTCTAACATCCTGAACTCGGATTTCCCTTCCAGTTGGTTAACAAAACGGTGAGAACCTTCCATTCATGTATTATTTCAGAAGACAAACAAAACAAACAGATTCTCTTCAATTCAACGTCGTTTTCATCCCACAGGCAGCTCGCATTTTATCTATTACATTGCATTGACTGTTTATTTTTCGAATTTGCTCAAATACAAGTGGGTCTTTTCCATCTCCATACTATACACTCACATGTGGAACGGTTAGTCTCACTTTTAGGGAGATTTTAGGTACATCGAAATCAAGCCAAACAGCAAAAGCGAAATCTTTCTTTAGTTAAATATGCCTTCAAGTAGACTTTAATCAAAACGCAACTTTTCATAATTAAAGGCGATAATCAGTTCAAGCAAATGTTTCCTTGTAGGTAGAGATCAAACGACAGCTAATGTGATCAGAAATTTTAAGGAGTCCCATGACATAATTCCTTTCCCCTGGCAAGCTTGAGGGTTGCTACTGATAAGGACGGGAGGGTTGGGATTCAACGTGAAAGCATCAAGTCCACTAGCATGATATTTGGGAAAAGTTAGCACACTTCTTCATTACCGACTAAACACAGATATCTGAAAATTGCACTGTTTACGCACTTGCATAGCGTTTCTTCTTTTGATCAGAGTGAAAGTGATTAATTTATTTGCACCTCAGCAATGAAAATCTATTGCCTCCAGTAATTTTTTTAAAAATTGAGTAGACAAGTATTTGTCTGAAATTTTCTTTACTTCCGAATGCATTGAGCATTTAATTAATATAGCTGGCGCTGACCGACATATCGACTTTATAGGCAATAGCAACCTGACAAAATGACAATACCTCAAGCAAGACATGCGCTTCGAACTGACAGGAAGAGCTAATATTTTGGCTAGCTTGTATTCGTTATGCAAATAAATTTGGTTGAAAAAAAAACATGGAAATTATAAGGCGGAAAATAGGGAATCAGAATACCCTTTGGTGATGGTGAGGGAGGGAGGGGGAAAGGTTCAACATTTTTCGATAAAATTCTTGGAAGTAGTTATTGGATATTTAGAACTTCACTTCCACATAGTGTTGGTTGTGCATATTTTGAGCAAGAAGAGCGAATAATTGTGGTAAATAACATTTTAAAACTTGAACAGATGCTTATGAAGATTCACATATGACATTTTCATCGATATCAGCCAAATTGGATTTTCAAAATGTATGCTAAAGCGAATGCAATTTATTTCAACCTTACATAACCCAATAGTCGCAAAAAGTACAAATTTTCATACCAAAGGAATCTAGCACACCTTGGCTATTTCGAACCAAGAAGGACTTTCTGACAGGCAGAAAGCAATTACTTTTTGCGACCAAGAAAATTGCCTTTTAAAAACCCCAATTTTACCATTTTTACAACCTAAGTAGATATTGAATGTATTTAAAAGAACGCATTATCGCAACGGCATCCTTAACCTTGATAACTTATTACCTAACACAATGCTTAGCTACAATTTGAAAATTGAGTTAAATTATTCGACATTGTTTAAATGTTAAACGACACAATAAGACTTTTCGATAGTAATTTAAAGTGCAAAATAAACTTTGAGGACTCAAGCAGTAATAATCACAGGTACTACGCGTGGTACTGGAGAAGTTTAAAAATATGCTTGGTTTAGTTGCCAAAAGAAAGCAGTGATCGACAAGAAAGCCCTTTAGAAATAACGAACATGAAATTTTATTTCATTCTCTTCACAAGGGAAGCGCCATAAATAGGCAGGTAAATTGGAAGAGAAATATAAATTGATTTTAATTCCCAAGTTATAAATAATTATAGAAATATGATTATCTTCAGATTAGTAAAACAAATCGTAAGAGTGAAAAAAAAACAAAGTAAATCATTGTCGCATTACTCTGGCAATTTCAAGAACTGTCGCTGTTGTTCCGAAGACAGCAGAAAACACACCGACAGAGATGATTAACACATTTTTTGCAACAATCTTGACATAGAACCAAGGAATCTGTTCTCTCTCCGACCAATAGTGAACGATTTCCAAGATTGGTGGAGCAAGAATTGCAAGAACTGAACTCGAAATGGCACCAAGTAGAGACACCATGAGATCCAAATGGGGCACTATCATTGCTATTGCGTCTAAAATTAGATCAAAATATAAAGCCTACTTAAAAATTTTAAGTAGATATAAATTTTCAAGCCATACAGGTCAAAAGAACGAGACCCGCTCTCATAAATTTTCGATGGAGAGACTGCTTTTGAGGTGAGGCCGCGCGGTGGAAGGGAACTTTCATCAGTAGACGGGCAAAGATAAGTGCTGGGACATAGAATTGCAGGAGGTAAGTCAGAAAAATGGTGAATATAAAGAGTGGCTTGACCAATGAGTAGATACTAGAAGCGAGAATAAACCAATTCAGTACTTCAAACTTGCTCCAATGAATACTGTTCTTTTCAATACTTACATTGGGGTGTTTGGGATATTGTATGTAATACTACCAAGAATGTCATCTCCGAAACGCAGATAACCGAAGAAACCGATGGTAGCACAGAGACAGGTTGTGATAACCATTGTAACATTTAGGACACCGAAAGTTGATACAAATCGATCAGGTTCACGCATTCGATTGCGGAGAGGCAGAGTCTGTGAAAGAAGAAGAAAAAACAGATTATATAATCAAGGGAAAATGACATTCTATTGGTTGTATGTAGAAAAGCTACGTAAAGATGGAAAAAATTAGATTGTATTTTTCTTAGTGAATAAAGGGTCTATTTTAAACTGTAGGTTTCACAACATACAAACATTCATCAGCTTTTACAAATTTTTTATTTCTTTATAGCACAAGGTCATACCAAAAATATAGTTTAGGCAGACGCTGAGCATTCAAGTTTTTCTTCTTACTAAATGTTTTATTGAAGTTCAAAGAATTCGGCCCTAACTCAACCATTTTCATGTAAGTCGCAGTTAAAGGTTCCTCGAAATTAAGACCTCCACAGGTTGGAATTCAACATTGAAGACGCTTTCAAAAGCGTAGATCTGTATTTACATACATTTATTAAATCAGGTAGCTCATGGACTGATCGAGCCTACTTGATAACGAAGGGTTAAAATCCATTAATTGGTCAGAGACAAAATTGGTGGCTCAGTTTAATCTAACCATTGACTTTAAATTGTACCTGAATCCTATTAATATCATTACAAAAAATGCTTCGACTGAAGAGACGCTGATTTTGAAATATGATTGAAAGAAGGCAGAATTAAGAAATCCGAGTTATGAAGGATTACCAGAAGAGATTGTTTAACCAATTTAAAAGATCATAAAACATGCCAATCATTAACAATTGGCGACCCCAAATATGCTAGTATCAATGACCGAACAACCCAATTTAAGCTAGCGATCTCCATATTTGGCATTAAAAATGGAAATTCAAAAGTATGCATGCTCATTCGTTTCCAAATTCACCTTCAAAAAATTCTAGACCACAAAAAGTCTCACCGAAATATCTCCAAAAATATTTGCTTCATTGCCGGCGACTTCAATATCCTTCACATTGTTAGTACAATATATAGGACTATATTTTAGTGCTTGTGAATACAATTTTATCTCTTTTACTGGGACAACAAGATGCACTTTTGGTAAAATTGACGAAAACCTGACCGAAACGGATTATCACATGAGAATGAGTGTGAGTGACGAACTTCGAAAACGAAGGCAATGAAGGACTCGAGTTATTCTCAAAAATCTGATCGCATAATAGAAAATCTAAACGGCAAATGATTTGGAGATTGGACAATCACAGCTCTATAAACAATGTGTTAAACCAGAACGCCGTTAGCATGTAAACATTTCATTTGACGTAAAATTAGAAAGGATGGTTTAAATTGGATGGACCAGAGAGCAGCAAAAAAGCGAGAAAAACAACAATAAAATTTGTAATAAATAGAAAAAAGTGTGATTTAAAAATGTTCTCACAAAGGCATTTTCCCGAATTTCGGAGATTGAGCCAAGATAAAAATCTGAATTCAAATGTCAAAAACACGTTTTCACATAATAAAGAGTGATCATATTTGTAAAATGAAATAAAAATTTACCAAGTATTTATTCACAAGAAAATGAACAATGAAAATCTTGAGAGATAAGGATGGAAAAACAATCTTACCAACGCGATTCCTTCAAATGTGAAGATGAAAATGCCCAGTGAGGATAGTACTTGTTCAAACGAAGTGTTTACTGCGGGTAGAGATGAAATATTTTTCAAACCAGTGGAGAAGAGGTAGATAAAAATCAGTCCCAAACCGATCACCATAGATACCAGTGCTAACATCGATGGAAGAGCATTTGCCTTAAGGCTCGCTTTCATAATCAGTAATATTAGAGGCAAGGTAACAATAAACCCAATGAGATAAAGGTTGGCATTAAAAGTGGGCCAGATAATTTCAATAAACTAAAAAAAGTTAAAGACTGTTAGAAGAAAAGATAAGATTAAACGCACATATTTGATATTCTGTGAAACGAAGAGTATGTAAATACAGCAAAATCCGATTTGAGTAAGGATTAGAAAGGCATTGATCGTGTGTCTAAAGAAAACATGCATGACGTGATCATACAAAACTTACTTCACTTTTCCTTTAAACCTTCGCAGAGGCTGTGGACCATACATGATTATATTAAAAACAGCCTCTGAGTAATCAATTTTTACTCTATCAAGACCGTTTCTGCAAAATATAAGCAATTTATAAGGCATAAAAACTCACTTAACAATAACTTCCTCCGTTATACGAAGTAGTTGGTGCATGACATATGTTGAAAGAATTGCGTAAAAAAGGAGTAGAGAAAATCCAAGCCAGAGACCGGCATGTTTGAAAGCAATAGGCAAAGCTAAGATTCCGGTACCAATATTCCCTTTAAGAAAATTGAATAATGCTGATTCAATGCTAAATAGACATAACTAGTTAGTTAATGAACATTGGAAACCTCGTTTTTTTCCTAGATATTTCAAGTTGAATGTCTTCTTGATCTTCATTAATTTCAATTTCAATTTGCGCTTCATCAATGGTTTCAATGTCATCTATCGTACCATAACTTGGCATCATTAAAAACGAATTTTATGGAAAGACAAGAAAATGAATTAATGAATCAATTATCAAGTGTAGAGAAATATCAGATGATTCATTAACCAATCAAAAGGTGAACTAATTGTATAGTGGCCTTTTCTCAAGGCCAATTTGTAGGTCATATAAAAATAGATCAAGGGAGAAGATTTTGTCTAAGCAAAATCAAACACAATGATAAATTTCTAATTATTTGATGAACAATAAGATAGCTCAAACATTTAATATACAATCACATACAAAATAAATAATCTGTAAATTTAAAAATGGACTATTGACTTAGCATAGTTACACTAACTTATTTTGCATTTCGGACTAATATTAACGTGAAACATTCACGTTTTACTAAGAATGGCTTTAAATGTTAATACGATTGCTGTATATGCCAGTTATACTATGAAAACATGTTTGTTAATTTAGCCTTTAGCATTATAAACCCGAAGGAACAATATGACTAATAAAATTGAACCCGCACAAGTTTCTGAACAGAATGACGAACTGCAGGCTTTAGAAAGCATATATCCAAATGAATTCTCAATAATTGATTACGAAAAACGGTTGGCTAATTTATTTTTGGATATTTTTGAATTAGTTGCTTTAAAATTTCAGTCGCATCGGAAGGTCCCAGAAAGCATACTGTGGAATTGAAGTTCACTTTTATACCCGGCTATCCTTCTGAAAGCCCGCCAATTTATGAGTAAGGGAGATGATTGCCGCCTCACTTTCTTAGAATTTCTGCACCGACTCTCCAGAAAACCCAACGCTCTAATTTGTTGCATGCGCTCAATGAAGTATGTGCGGTTTCTCTAGGTTCCGCTATGATTTTCTCAATGGTGGAGACAATTAAATCTTTTATCGAAGAGCAAGAGGAAGAAAGTAGCCAGCATTGTGAGGCTATATCAGAATTGGATGAATCATCTATTGGCGAACCAATGCGAGGGGTTGTGAAATCCACCTATGTAGTGCCGAGTGTCCGTGATCATTTACTTGCTTGTGGTCGGCGATTACCCATTGCGGAAGGCGTTTCTTGTCCCAATATTTACCATGGTAATATAATAACCGATCGGAAAAGTGTATTTCAGGTGTGTTTTTTTATTTCTTGTCCTTCTTAATTTAAATAGGTAGAATATAGTTAAACCAAAAATGTCTTATTCAAATTCCCTATTGAGAATAGATAGCAAATACAGTAATTGAACTAATCATATTTTCTTGTGATTTATTTAGACCATTGGTGGTTGATTTAGGTCAAGTTTACAATTTCTGACCAAATTCATTAGCATTGCTCTTGTCACGTCGGTAGTCTATGCTCTCCCGTATGACTTTCCGTATTTCTGACTCAGAGGACAAAAGAGAAGAACTTGCATTTCCTCGGAAGCCTATTATTATTTTTGCTATTTCACTAAGCCAGTGCTCAATTTTTATACAACTTTGATATGGTTCTGACTATTTTACTGGCTGGTCAGGATGTTCACTATTGGGAAGTCTTAATTCACAAGCACCAGCACGTCGGAGCGGTAAATATTACACCCGAATAACTGACTCTGTTATTAACTTTGTATGTAATCTTCTTGCGACATTGTTTTCAAAAAGGTTGATCTCTTCAATTCTCTCAGAGCTATACCAATTATATACAGATTCGTTAAGTACTAAATTCTTTGCAGTTTCTAATGGATTCTGCATCATGGATTTCTCTTAAAATTGGTGGAGAATTTCTATACCGCTTATTCTTTTATATGAATGCCCTATTCGTTTCTAAGGGAAGCCTATACCTTGCAAATTTTTTTTCGACAGAATATTTCCTATGTTCATCGGTTCCATTGACGTTTATTTAATAGTGTGACCTTATTCCCTGATTTCAGTTTCGTTGATTTTGGGATATGATTGTGTTAACTGTTTTTATCTAACAATAGTAATCCAAGGAATTCAGTACTTTGGTAGCGAATTTTTACGAATTCTCTATGGGCTTCAAACATGATAGACTCCAATTTCGTTAATAAACAGTGGACCTGTGTTTCTATTAAAGTTAAAATAAATGAACTCTTTTAGACTTCTTAAAGTACCTTTTTATCATGTGGGTAATTGTTGCTCATTGCTATTTTCGACGAATAGTGAAACGTGACTGGGATTGAGATTGCTCTTCTTCATCTCCCTTTATTTTCTCAAAATTGATCTTTACTTTCTGGCGATTAGAGATTGTTGTGGGATCAAGTTAAATTGATCTTCATCCAACAGCCATTGTCATTGCAATCTGCACTGTCTATTGCTGATCACTAAAAGTATGTTAGAATATGAGCTCGGGAATCCGAAGATATATACTATTTCTCTCAATTTCTTCTCGGTTTAACTGTTTGTTTAGCCAATAATTACGGGGATATTAACTTCAGCGAGGTCCTAACTATCCATCTGCGAGCATAGAAATCTGATGATAGATAATTCAGTCGGGTTGATAAAGTTATTGTTTGATTTTTGCAGAAATCCCGTCATTATTTTATCATAGCCAGTTAATGTCTTGTCCGACAGGCCCACTGCTGTGAGGTATCTTCCCTCCCCGAAATCTCCGCTTTCATCAGCACCATGCTGGAGGATCGAAAGGTTGCAGCAGCAACCCACAACATCACCGCGTGGTATCTGCGAACCAAGTTGAAAGCGGACGCGCCAACAACCTCCCTGGTGGCTGACTATGATGACGATGGTGAGACTCAAGCTGGTAGTCGACTTCTGCATCTCATTTCGTTGGCTGCGAAAGAGGGTGTTGCAGTAATGGTGAGGTGTCTTCTTTTTGAATATCGCAATGATCTGTTTAACCTACCATGCATTTTATAAGCAGTTTTCTGGCACAGTAAAGTCAAATGGATTCCGATCTTTACGCATTAGTGGCGCGGTGGCACTGTTTCCTCAACATGGATGGACAACCGGAATTGTTAATTCTAGTATGCAAGAGAGGTGGTAAAGGTGTTTCTCGTCTGCTCTGTTCCAGAATATCCTAATCAAGTGTTTTAAACGCTTTCCCCATTGGGTTTGGGAAGCTGATCTGACATTTTCGAGTCAATGCGAGTTAATGGAAATATCAAGAACACTCGACTTAGATTGACCATTTCATTTGACAGTGGCTTCCAAGCCTGAGAGTTATGAAATGTAAAAATGGAATGTTCTTCAATAAAATATACCGCTTATTAATTCCATATTTAATCATAGTATGGACATTAATATCTTTAGTTCGTTGCCTGCTTCTTTCTAATCCGATTCTGGACGTTTTCGGACTTATTTACAGTTGCCCTTAGTCGGATGTTGTCCCTTGATTAAAACTTGTTTAAGTTCTTTCGCATTTCTATGAAAAAAGGAAATTATTAGTTTCATTTATGCACATTTTCTTCAGGTAACGCGATGGTATGGAGGAATTCAATTGGGTCCAGATCGTTTCAAGCACATCAATAATGCTGCGAGCCAGCTACTCGCCCAAGTAAATCTTACAAAGAATTCAAATCCTGAAACCGTTCAACCAAAGTCCAAAGGTTCTGGCAAAAAAAAACCGTAACACCCAAACATCCTTCACTTGTTTTCTTCTTCCGTCCTGTAAAAAAATAGATCTCCCCTTCCTGATTCTAACTAGAAAATATGAGCTAGTTTTGGTCACTATTCACTATTTTATCTCTGAACTACCACTAGCGAAATTTCGATTTTCCTGATCAGCCCTTAAAGGCTAAAATTGACTAATCAGTGGGTTTGATAATTTAACTCAGGTGTGTCCATAGGCACAGAAAAGTGTAGGTTTGCATTGGCGCTAAACCGGCCAATTCGCACATGTTCGGATTCTATCGTCCAGTAAGATTAACGCTCGAACAATACTCCTTAATCGGGGTTGCGCAGCGACCAGTCAATTTCAATCAAGCTGCCCTGAAAGCCCATCCCAGTGGGAGTGGATTTCGTGGAATCATCTTTTGTCGCTTCATTAGGATGGTATATATATGTATATAAGGAGAGGTAGGATAACAAATAGCGGAAGTGAGGATTAATTAGGCAATTGGAAATGTAGTGTAAAGAAAAAACAAAGGATGAGAAAAAAATTTGGTGATTAACACGTGTGGGAGGAGGAGGAGGAGGAGGAGGGGAAATAGAACGAGGGATGAGAGAAACCATTATGACCTCGAAATCTAATGTTTAGGGGCCCACTAAGACCGAAAGAGTGGACCGGACGTATATTACTGCTTACTTCAATAATGGATCCCTTCACGAAATCTCAATCTTCTCGAAGTACGGCACTAAGTTTTGATATATTGGTGCCGAATTTGAAAGCTCTCGAAAGACGCGCTTAAACATGTGGTAGCATATAATACGGTGACAACAAACAAAGGTCAGTGTATATAGAGAGGGAGTAGAGCTGTGGTGTGTGGGTGTAAGAGGGCATTAGACTTCTGGAACATGTTTAACCCTCTGTCCTCTTAGAAGAGATCGACTCTGCGTTTGAGGTCGTTGCGCTTCCATTCTGGCAACCGGTAGAAAGCAGCTCGTGAAAGTTTGAATACCTTTTGGAATTCAACATCGGAAAGATAGAACTCAAGTCTTGTGCGATCAACACCCTTTGGTAGTCTACCATGACTAGCAAGAAGGTCCTTATATGGAAACTCCTGTAAAAAAATAATAATCAAATTAAATTTGGGTTGTGAATCTTTCCATGAGATACTTGAACAAAACTTGTCATTTGAATAAACTTAAATGTTAATAAAATGAATGAATGACAAACCTTGATTGGGGTTTCTTCAATGCGCTTCATTGGTACAGTGAGAGGAGTTGAAGACACAACGCTAGGATAACTTGGTGCAGAGCCTAGCAAACTAGTATTAAAGTCTCGACTAGAATTTGCAGTGCTTTCATTGTGTCGAGCACCATTCATTCGTATTGGTGACAGCTGAGACTGCACTGGACCATCTGAAATATCAAGAGAGACACATGTCAAAAGAAACTATTAAATAAGAAGATCTTCGAAATTAATTAGTTAAATTAATATTTTGACACTCGAATATAATGCGCAACTTCTAGCCGACCTTCCCTCTCAATGACTTCCGCATTAATGGATCCACTTATTGTTCGTCGTGTTTAGATGCATTAATAAGAACAAAAAGTCAAACATACAATTGACTTATAAAATCGCAATTCAATGTCAATCTTATTGATTGAAATATAAGCAATAATGATAATCTGAAATTCGATAACACTGATGAAAAAGGCACGCCAATGGATTAATGCTCGTCGCAAACTAGCAGAGATAATAAAAAATATGCGAAACCCAGCTTGAAACATGTGTGAGGGGTGAATGGTAAAGAAATGATAAAGCTATCGCCTAAGTAAGCAAAATTCGGAAGACGCATAATAGTTAAAAAAAGTAGAAGACATTTCAGGGCAGATTTATTTGAAGTATTTTATGTTCATCTAAATGGGGTGTGCGATAGACTTACCTCCACGTGGTTCACCCTGGGCAACGTATACTCATAGGGCAAAAATGTCTATGAATCGGTAGTTGACTTCTGACTTCAAACTACCATCACCTCACTGTATGTCATATTCGACTACTTCACTGTACTCACATCACCCTTTTTCTACCTTTGTGTCTGCATCTTCTACATCTTTGAAACACTCTTCTGTTCCCCCAGCCAACTCTACTTTTTTTCATTTTGATGTTCCTTTCCCTCTGTGAAGCCTGAAGTCAACTAAAGGGCTGATGATAACCATCAAAACGCCTGCCATTTGATATAAATAAATAAATGTTCATATAAATGAATGGAGTCATAATTTCTGTTAACGTATTACTTACTTCCATTAATTTCTCCATTTGCAGCATAACCATTATGAGGTGTATCAAGTCCTGGAGACGAAAAGC